GGCAGATGGTACGACCAATGTAAGAAGATCCACAGGGACACAAATTGGTAAATGCAGAATGAGTTCATTTCCATCGGCCGCTGTCTGTTATCTGTATTTAGAGAACTGGTTGTGCGTAAGTCAGCGGCATAATATTTCTGACGGCATTCTGAAGATATCTACTTATCATTTCAGATAATGTGCTACCTTTGAAGGGAATGGACAAGTAAACTGGTTTCTTTTCAGGCGTCATTTCCGATTGCCTTGTTTGTGGTGACCTTCATACATTGCTAAATGATCTCACTTGACTATCCCCCTTTTTCATGAACATCGTCCTGATTTTTCTCAGCTCTTCTTCACATGCATCAGGCGAACATATTCGCCTTGACCAGTCCACCATGCATCGAATCAATGCCTTCTTTTTTTTGCTAAAGATGTACGAAACTGTGATAATTTGGGAGCTGTACTTGTCCAAGTCTGTCTTCGGTGAATGCTACATCGAAGAGACCCGTTTTCACAGCTCTAGAATAAAACATCCAGGAACCCCAATCCTTCGGAAAATCTCTTTTCTGGCGTGAAGCCTATATTCTTATGGGTTTTGTTAAATTGGTCCCACAGAAAAGTGGGATTCATGGAGGAATCGGACACGCAGGTATCACCTACACATGCTTTTATGTGGACATTCAGTTACTTCAGTTTCAAAGTTCGTCATAAACAAATCGGCGAAAAGAGGAACAAAGGGAAATCCCATCACAATCTCGTCTTTCAAGCGGTACGTCTTCCCACTGAACTGGATGGAATCGCGCATTATACGTGCCTAGATAAATTGGATCACGAAGGCCAATATTCATACATCCGCGCTCATTCTGATTACACAGGTAGTCTCTGGTCTCTCCAAGAGGTACATTAGTGAATAGAGGGGCCACACCCATCAATGACCTAATTTCGTGAACTATAAAATAGTGCTGTATTTTTTGTCTTGTAAAGAATACATCAAAAATGAGCTTGTTTGCCAAAATGACTTCTTTATCACTGGTGTCGTGGCACTGTTCGCATGATTACGTTCAAAATCAGTATCGTTTTGATATCATTTTTAGCATCTCTGACTAAACAGGCCTCATATACTATGTATATAACCATTCACGTGAGTTTGTGCCCAACTCACGCTTGAGAAACTCTAACACTATAGAATTGTTTCCAAATTTCTGCACACTCATTTGTTCATCCCCTGCAGCAGACCGCAGTCTGAAATCCTTGTTTAAACGGGAATCTACACAGGAATCTCACGAGTCGCAAGACGACGGACACGTCGTTGAATCGGTTGTCCGAGGTCCGACAAAAGCCGCTCTCACTCCACTCTATATAAAAACCCCGGAACATATTTTGCACAATGTGTCTGGTACAGCACAATTCACATCAACTTCAGACAGAACATCAAAGGACCCTGTGGGTGATGCCAATTCCCCCAAGAAACATAATGGATCGGATCGAGGTCGGCGGTCTGCTTCAAGTGCCAAATCCGCGAGAACCACAGCTGAACTTGTACAGAATAAGCTATTTTCAAAGCGACGTACCGGATCCACACGCGCCTTGAACATGTCTCAGTCAGAGGATGAAGATGAGAAATCCGGTGCCTCCTCCCCGGAGCTTGGACCAGATGGATTACCGACCGG